CTTTCTTTCTTTCTTTCTTTCTTTCTTTCTTTCTTTCTCATTAGAACAATTGACCCAGGAGCTTGGTGGATTCTCCATCCCTGACAATTTTTAAATCCAGATTGGATGTGTTTCTAAAAGCTCTGCTCCAGGAATGACCTGGGGGCAGTTCTCTGGCCTGTGCTGTACAGGGGGTCAGACTAGCTGATCACAATGGTCCCTTCTGGCCTTGGGATCGAGGAATTTCTGAATTTCCCCTTCACCTCTCTAATTCTTTCTCTCTTTTCTACACGAGAGGGAAGAATACTCATTTCCCAGCTTTAAGTGTATAGGTCCCAGCAAGGCTCAGAGGTATTTGTTATCTATCTAGAGCCAGGGGCATGCTAAGAAGACAATGCTGTAACATTTAACAAATTCCTAAGGGGAGAAAAGGCGCTCAATTGCCTTCCAGTTCAAAAGAAATAGCCAGATGAAGTCTGCAATCTAATTCATGTAAAACAAAGTGCATTATTTATCATGCCGTCTCAAAAGCCCAAACTCCTATCTCTCCAAAAAGTTGAGTCTGTTTTATAAATGCAAGAGAAAAGCTTTAACTCATTCCACCCCATAGATGCCTTTGAATCCTTTATGGACACTTGTAAGAAAGGCAACCGAGAAATCAGAGCACATTGCTCATTTTTGTCACTGATGTCTTGTGAATGCTCGATTTGACCAGCTATTCCAAAGAGCAACCTGAATTAACTTGTGTGGATTTAAAATCACCCTGGACAGCCATCCATCAGACAATCACTGACAGACAATCACCCTCTCATAAAGCAGACCCAACAGGATGTCTATTTTGGGGCAATTTATCGAAATGACTGATGGTGTCAATTAAGCACAGGGCCTATGGAGACTGGGGCTTGCTCTCAGAGTCTCCTTGTATGTTCCATATCTCAGAAAATCACCAAGAAAGGAGCCTGAAGCAGCGGTTTCAGCTGTCAGGTGAGAAGACTGAAGAGCAACAGGAGAGCTGAATGAATGATAGCGCACAAGATGTGCGGCGGGTTGGAGGGCATATTTGTTGTCTTTGCTTTTGCATGTAAAACCCCTTCCCTGCTACCTTCACAAACTGGCTGCCACCAATCCCCTTCCAGGCTTGTGCAGAATTTGGAGGGTATCCGATGACTCCAGTACAGCTCTTTGAACAAATCCATGCAAAGACCAGGACCTAACTACTCCCAGAGGAGCAGGGCTGCCAACTGCGGCACAGTCTCTCAGGCCCCCAATTCAGGAAAGCATTTAAATATGTGCTTCACTTTAAATATATGCTCAAAGTCAATGGGACTTACAGATTAATAGATTCATAGTTTATAAGGCCAGAAGGGATGGTTGTAATAATTTCATCAGGTCTCCCCTGTAACACAACCCACAGGATGTCCCTGAATTAATTCCTCTGTCAACCAGAGCAGATCTTTTAAGAAAGTCTCCAATCTTGATTTAAACATTGCCAGTGCTGGAAAAATTCTGGGTACCTTATTTCCACTCTGAATGGATCTAGCTTAAACTTCCAGCCATTGGATTATGTTATACCTTTGTCTGCTAAATTGAAGAGCCCATTATTAACTATTTGTTTCTCATGTTGGTACTTACAGATCAGGGGTAGGCAACCTATGGCACACGTGCCAAAGGCAGCACACGAGCTGATTTTCAGTGGCACTCACATCGCCCGGGTCCTGGCCACCGGTCTGGGGGGGGGGCTCTGCATTTAATTTAATTTTAAATGAAGTTTCTTAAACATTTTAAAAACCTTATTTACTTTACATACAACAACAGTTTAGTTATATATTATAGACTTATAGAAAGAGACCTTCTAAAAACGTCAAAATGTATCACTGGCACGTGAAGCCTTAAATTAGAGTGAATAAATGAAGACTCAGCACATCACTTCTGAAAGGTTGCTGACCCCCGTTATAGACTGTGATCAAGTCACCCCTTAACCTTCTCTTTGTTAAATAGATAGATTAAGCTCCTGGAGACTATCGCTATAAGACAGGTTTTCCAGTCCTTTAATCATTCCTGTGGCTTTTCTTTGAACCTTCTCCAATTTATCCACATCCTTCTTGAATTGCGGGCACCAGAACTGGACACACTATCCCAGCAGTGCTCACGCCAGAGAAAAAATATAGAAGTAAAACAACCTCTTTACTCCTACTGGAGGTTCCTCTGTTTATGCCTCCCAGGATCACCTTAGCTCTTTTGGCTACAGTGTCATGCTGGGAGCTCATGTTCAGCAGATTCTCCACAACAACCCCCAAATCTTTGTCAGAGTCACTGCTTCTCAGGATAGAGCTCCCCATCCAGCAAGTATGGGCTACGTTCTTTGTTTCCAGATGTATCGCTTTACATTTGGCCATGTATTGTTTGCTTGCACCCAGCTTACCAAGCATGCTTAAAGGTAAGCAATTTGTGTATGCACTGTATGCATGTTTTCCTGCATAGGGATGAGTACATGTATGTGCTCCAGTGTTTTCCTGACCTGGGCCAGATTCTGAGCTGATGTACATCAGTGCAGCTCTATTAAACTCAAGAGGAGTAGACCCATTTACACCACTGAAATCAATGACGTGACGCTGTTTCACACCAGCTCAGGATCTGGCCCTTGCTGGCTAGATTCAGTTTTTAGGCTCATAGGAAATAAGAAATAAGGAAGTTTTGCATGTCTATGATTCTAGGATGGAAGAGCCGTTTAATAGGCAAGACTGAGAGGGATAGAGCAGCGTGATACAAAATCTGCTAACAGAAAGCTAGGACTCCTGGAGAAGAGAAATGCGCGAGGGAGACCCGGGCATGGCTGTGATTTGAGAAATGGCTCTGTTTGAACAGGACAGTGACTAAAAGCAGAGCCCAGGTCGAGTTGTACATGGGGAGCTGGACGCAGACACTTCCTTTGTTCCACAGACTTCAGGGCTAGTGGGAAAACAAAGGCAGCTTAGGGCTCTTCAGAATGAATCGATGTGAAGGCAAATGACATCTCGCCTACTAAAGCGAGGGAAAGTGACAGAATGGGCCCTAGAGAACCCCAGAATTACTCCGATTATCTCCTTCCCTAGCCCCTGCCATCCCAGGAGCTCAACAGACCTGACAAACATTAATGAATTGACCCTCACAACCCCCCTATGGGGCAGGGGGTTTTATTATTCTCCATGTGATCAGAGGGGAAAGAGAGGCATGCGCAGGTGAAGTGACATGCCTACAGGCACACAGCAAGACAGTAGATGAGCCAGGACTAGAACCTTTGACTAAAGGACCAGTGCTGTAACCAACAGGCAGTGCTTCCTCTCTGGTGGCCTAGTGGCTGCAGTGTGCAGTGCTGGGGCTCAGACAATGGACAAGAGGGACTCCCTGAGGTCATGGGGAGAGGGTGCAAGAGGAGAATGGATCAGGCATGAGGGGCCTCAGTCAGGCACAAGGGGGGATTGCAAGAGCATCCCCCACTCCTCTAGGGAGACTGTGTCTAGCCTAGCATCTCTCACTGTCGGGATGGCCCCCAAACTAAATGTTTCCTTTGTTCAGATCATCCCGTTGATCCTAGGCCTCCCCCACACGTGCCACATAAATGATCCCTTGGCCTCACAGCCCTCAGACCTTTGTAGGCTCTTACGTGCCCCATCCTTCACCATCTCTTAGGCAAGCTCTAGCTATTTAGCTTTTTCAATCTTCCCTCATAAAGCGATCCCTTCTCCCCCTTTGCCCCCGCAGCTCTCCTCTGAACACCCTCCCCTTTGCCAAACTCTCTCCAGCCAGGAGGGGCTCCGGCATCGAATGCAGGGGGCCAGTCTTGCGCTTGGTGTGGCACTCCACCA